TCACTTGCACCTGCTTTATCTTTATCTGTTCCTAGCTTACATGCCAGTATTTTACCTAATAGTTGTCGTTATGATTTTTCGTCACAAATTGTCCAGTTGTGGCATGACCACTTTGGACATACAAATTTTAAATATTTAGGTATGTTGTTTCCTACTTTGAGCAATGCTTGTGTCGGTGGTAAACTTAACTGTATTATATGTTCCCTATCAAAACATGTTAGAACTAGTTATATTCCTCAAATGCACCAATTACCCAAGCCATTTGACTTAACACACTCTAATATTTGGGGACTCTCTCCTGTTACTGCTCTGTCAGGTGTTCGATACTATGTGACATTTATAGATGATCATACCCGTTGTACTTGGGTCTACCTATTGCGTAGGAAGTCTGATATACTCCCTNGAAGAATATATTTTTTCACGGTGATCTGGACGAGATTATTTATATGGATGCACCACAGGGCTTTCGTAGTGAAGGGGAATATGCTGAAACGGTATGTCGACTACGTAAGACTATGGACTGAAACAGTCACCACGAGCTTGGTTTCCTTGCTTTAGTGGTGTAGTTGTACATTTAGGGTTCACCAAATGTCATTCTAATCATACCTCCTTCATTCGACGAANATTCTTCAGCAACTCACTTGTCCATATACTCCTGAGTAAAATGGCGTTGCTAAAAGAAAAATAGGAGTCTGATAGGGATGGTATGTTGTATGCTTAGAGGCATGGGGTACCAAAATCTTATTGATATTTTGTTGTTTTAACTTCTACCTTTCTGTACAATTGTACACTGAGTCGTGTTCTTTAGTATAGGGTTCCCTTATAGGNTTATTACTAGAGATTATGTTTCTGGTACTGCGCAGGTCAAGGTAGACCTTGGGAAGACGTTCGATGTGAAGGACTTTGAATTTCTGCGATACTTTCTTGGGATTGAGGTTGCCCGTAGTAGTAGGGGTACTGTTCTTTCTCAGAAAAGTATGTTCTGGATCTTCTCTCAGACACTGGAGATGTTGGGGTACAAACCAATATCATCACCCATGATTTCAAACCTGAAACTTACTGCTAAAGATGAGAAGTTAANGGCTATTGTCATCAGTCAAAGGGGTATCGGTGTTATGATCCTATTAGATGTCGTATGTATCACAATCTAGATGTTACCTATCTTAAGCATATTCCTTATTTTTCTTCTAATCCTGTGTCTGCCCCTCCAATTGATGATACTCCCTTTAATTGTCTATTACCATAAGAGCCAGAGCCATTGGTCACTATCCCTACCAAGTCATCCGTCTCTCCTCCTTCAGAGACACTCGTCCATGTCAGTACAGAGTCACCAGTCTCTCTTCCTTTGTAGGTTTATATTCGTTGCCCTCATTCTCATTCCCCTACTGATGTCCTCTCTACCTTAGGTGATGCAGGTGATACTTCTCAGTTCGTTGAGTATGTTGATGCACCTGTTGTTAGTACTGATGAGATTATAGGTACTGATCCAGTTACTTTACCTGATGAGACATTGCTAGTGGAAGATGATGATTTAGGGTGTCGTTATCCACAGCGTGATCGCCGTCTAGTTGTTGGTTATGGTTGGACTGCAAAGACTTTATATCCGATCTCTACTTATGTTTCTTGTGATGATCTGTCTCCCATATTTCGAGCTTATCGTATGGTCTTATCAGATACGCTCGTTCCTCGCTCTATTTTAGAGGCTATGCGGAAGCCCCAGTGGGTTATTGTCATGTAGACGGAGATGGATGCTCTTTAGCGTAATCATACGTGGGATCTTATCCCTTTATCTTCAAGGGTGAAGCCTATTGGTTGTCGCTGGGTTTACACCTTGAAGTTTCTTGTGGATGATACTATTGATTGTCACAAGGCTAGGCTTGTGGTGAAGGACTTTACTCAGGTACCAGGTCGTGATTTTTGTGCTACATTTGCCCCCGTTGCAAAATTGACTACTGTTCGATTGATTATTTCTCTAGCTACAGAGTACTCTTGGCCTCTTCATCAATTGGATGTGAAGAATATATTTTTTCACGGTGATCTGGACGAGATTATTTATATGGATGCACCACAGGGCTTTCGTAGTGAAGGGGAATATGCTGAAACGGTATGTCGACTACGTAAGACTATGGACTGAAACAGTCACCACGAGCTTGGTTTCCTTGCTTTAGTGGTGTAGTTGTACATTTAGGGTTCACCAAATGTCATTCTAATCATACCTCCTTCATTCGACGAAATACTTCTGGACAATGTGTCATCCTTTTGGTATATGTTGATGATATTATTATTACTAGAGATTATGTTTCTGGTACTGCGCAGGTCAAGGTAGACCTTGGGAAGACGTTCGATGTGAAGGACTTTGAATTTCTGCGATACTTTCTTGGGATTGAGGTTGCCCGTAGTAGTAGGGGTACTGTTCTTTCTCAGAAAAGTATGTTCTGGATCTTCTCTCAGACACTGGAGATGTTGGGGTACAAACCAATATCATCACCCATGATTTCAAACCTGAAACTTACTGCTAAAGATGAGAAGTTAAGAGATTCGACTGTCTATCAGAGGTTGGTAGGTAGACTTATCTACCTAGCCAACACTAGGTCATACATTTCATTCACTGTTAGCCGAGTTAGTTAGTTTATGCACAGGCCATGTCAGCCTCATCTTGATGCAATTTATCATATTCTTCGGTACCTCAAGTCTTGTCTTGGACTTGGGTTGTTCTATGCAACAGGAGCTCAGATTGGTTCTTTAGCCTGTTATTCAGATTCAGATTACGATAGAGCATGTGATGGTCGATCTACTATGGGCTTCTGTGCTTTTCGAAGAACTCATCTTATCTCTTAGAAGAGCAAAAAACAGACAGTTATCTCTCGTTCATCAGCAGAGGTAGAATATCGGGCAGTGGGACTTGGCNGCAAAAAGCAGACAGTTATCTCTCGTTCATCAGCAGAGGTAGAATATCGGGTAGTGGGACTTGTCACATGTGAGATTATTTAGCTACGATCGATTTTTGGTGAGTTGGAATTTTGAGTGACTTCTTCATTTACATTATATTATGATAATTGATCTGCGATTCAACTCATTTCTGACTCTGTATTACACGAGAGGACGAAGCATATAGAGATCGATGTTCACTTTCTTCAGGAGAAGATTCGTTGTGGTATTGTCACTCCATTGTTTGTAAGGACCAGTGATCAAGTTACAGATGTTTTCACTAAACTTGTCACTCTATACATTCTCTAGGACTCAGTTGTCAAACTTGGCTTAGTTGATATTTTTGCGCCTAACTTGAGGAAGAGTGTTTGAGTATAGTTTAGTTTATTAGGATTTCTTTTTCCTTTTTTACCTTTAATATGACTTTTATATTTTGTCTAAACCATAAAAATATTTATATCACTTTGTATTATTATTTGACGATATATACGGGGCTCTACTCTTAGTTTGAGTATCCATTTTCGACTCACATCTATCTCAAGTGGTACAAACAAGAATAACACTTCTAAAAAGTACCAACCAAAATATATATCAATAAAACTAGTGAATAAAGTATAGACTTAACCTGCAAGAATTACAAAAAAAAATATAAAGAAGAAACATAAATAAATTAAAACAAAAAAAAATTTGTGAAAAAGAAGGGCAATATGCCTGATCCAGATGGTGACTCAAAGTTTAGAGCACCCAAGGTCCAATCTCAATAACTTTGTTTAACATAGGAACCGATACAAGGATCTAAACATACCACACTTTAAACAAATAAAAAATGAGTTGCAAACATAATAAAAAGGATTATATATCAGGTTAGAGCAAATCTAGATTCAATTCTAAACTTGTGAAAAATAGGTAATATTATGACGAAAAGTTCTGGGTCACAAATAGCTAGTAGCAAAATTTCAACTGTGACGACCTGAGCAACCAGATTCAAATCCCCCCTCCTCCATCTTGTACATTAAAATTTTGAAGAAAAAAAAAGCAAAGATTCTTGACCACAGAAAACTATAGCTCTTTTAATTAATGAATTTGTAACTTAGGATCGTTTTAGATATAGTTGACAATCCAAGAAAGATCAGGCAACAATATGATTAACTAATTTGAGGTCCTAAACAACCATTCTTTTTAAACATGAGAACAAGAGATACTTACAATCGTAATTAAAAATGTCATGGAATAGAGGTTTTCTAAACTAGCGAATAAATCACTAGATATTGTCAACTGCTTTTGTAAGATTGACAACTTAAGAAATACAAAGTTCACGACAAAAGAGAGTGACATTATTTAAATGTGTGGTTGTTTGAGAGAAGATAGACTTGCTTTCAATCCAAACAAAATTTCAATTCATAAGGTATATAAAACTCAAGTTGACATGTGGCACACTTTGGTTCCAGAGGATTCAACTTGATACGCACACAGTAGCTGTCCACAGAGCTTTGCCCACGGAGAGAAGTGAACCACAGAGGCAAAAGATTTAAAAAAAAAATGTGAAGGATATTTTGGCGTTGGACATTATGGCGCTATAGTGTGTGTCCAAATCATCTATTTCTGGACTGAAATTAAGAGTTAGAACTATGCCCCACCGCAAGTGCACAATCAAGCTGAAATGAGAAGGATACACCTTAATCAACCAGCATTACTATGCGCATCATAATAAGCAAAAGTACACCATTTTGACTAATTAAAAATGGTAACGGTGGAATGTTGCTTATTTTGATGGCACAGAATGACCTATGCTCAGATCTTTTCTGTTTCAACTTTCATGCGACTGTGGTGGGCCAGAATTCAAACTCCAAATTTGGGCTCAGATTTAGATCATATGAGCACACACTGTAGTGCAATAGTGTTTGTCGCTACTGTGTCCTTCCCTTTTTTGGCATTTATGGTTTTCTTGTTTTATTTTCTCTCCCAGGGCAAAGCCTCGGTATATACGAGCTGGGGTGGCCACACTGTTGCTGGGTGAAAAGTAAACCCCCTACCCCCGGCTACAATTGCAAGACTGCGTTTATGGAATACTACTAACCATTCCAGCAACCAGGCCTTGCAAGCTCCGCATAAGCTTCATTCATGTCTGCTCTAGAGACCATACTGTTGAAGAACCAAAATATTGCATGAAAAATTTAAGCTTAAGACCATAGATACCAAAAGGAACTCCACACAATGTGGAATGTTACCTTTCCCATTTATCAGAAATGTCATTAGTAGTTCTCCAGCTATTTCCTACCCTAGCGCCCCAAAGGACTGGGTGCAAGTCTCCCCCAATACAAAGAAGGAAAATTTATCAAGCCACGAAGAAGCGCAATACTGATTTCGTTACAGAATGGGAGAAAACATGATTGCAGAAAAACAGAATCACCATTCACACAGTGAGAAGAAGATGGGACGGCCTGCTTTCATTAGAGCTCTGGTCATGATAGGGTATCTACACAAAGAACATAATCTCAGAACATTTCTTTGCAAGACATCTAACATTGACATGAAGCCCAAGGATGTTCAAGTGTTACTTCAAATCATAATTAGTTTATTACCGGACTGTTGCCTTTGAGCCATCATTGTTGCAGTTGTCGTACTTCAAATAATCAATACCCTGCTGGGAAAAAATGTTACTTAATGATATTTCAGACAGTATTCAAGGACCAATCTATGATGGGCATTCATAATCTTTTGTAGCTCCCAAAGTTTTTTTCACTGGAATGGGCTCATTTTGTATTCACATGACAAAATTTGGAAAACTAGATATCCTACCCATGAAGCAAAGGTTTTAGCATCTTGTTCCTCATGACCAAGTGAACCAGGCATAGTTTTACTACAAGTAAAATACCTGTCAAAAGAGATTAAATACATCCATCACCTAGTGTAAACTTCAAGCCAACTTATCAAAGGTGAAAAAACAACCAGAAATGTAGAGAAATGTTACCCTGCATCTGAGTATATACCAAGCATAAGACCCTTGCTGTGAACATAGTCTGCCAGAGCTTTAATGCCTGAAGGAAATGTGGATTTCTTAGGCACTAGATTACCCTACAATTGGATGTCCTTTTAGCGTGCAAACAAAAATCATGGATGAAATATTCCGCATTATAGTTGTTCAAAGTAGAAGAGAGGAACCTTTTCATCACGAGCAATGGGCAAAATGATAAGGAAAAATGATAAGTGGAACTGCTAAAGACCAGTTCATGCCTTAATCTACTGGTAAAGGGGCTGCCAAAGAGTGATTGAGCTTAACAATTTGAAAATATATCAAATCCCGAAGGCATATTCCGGACGAAGAATGTATCCATTAACTGTAGTCACACCTAATTGGGTCCAACTCACTATCACTCAACACACTATAATTGCAAAATAATTGATGGATCTTTTAATTTTTGTTTCATGGAAAAGATCTATCCACTCCACGTCAATACATTTTAAATTCAAATAAATATTTTAAATTTTAAAAAATTGAAGATATACTAGATTCTTTGCCGTGGGTAGACCTTTACCATACAAATAGAATTAGAGGAGCCTCCAACTATTTTACAATTGAAAAGGAGCCTACATAGTATTAACGAAGGATTTGTAGGTATGACTTCAACTTGATCTTGCATGCAAAGTTTTTTTGGATTGGCTTAAAATCGCATGGAAGTTTAGATATCTTATTCAAAGTTGACTCGTTTATTTACTAAACGAGGTTTGAAATTGAGTTTAAACTTAATTTACTTGATAAGTAAACAAACTTGAATGAATTTTATCTAAATTAATTTTGAATTATATAAAAATAGCTCAGCTAATTTTCAACCTTATTTGTAATAGCATGATGGTTGAAAAATGTGTCATTTTGCATTTGTCCCATTGCTGCCAAAATAAAGGTGACAACATGGCCAAATTTGTTCCAAGGAGAGTAGGGCTTAAAATTGAGCCAAATTTTATGAGTTCGAATCGAGTATATTGAGCTTGTTTTTTAAAATAAATTTAAAAAATTATTCAAGTTTAGATCGTTTAAAAAAAAATTTGACCTCGAGCCGAACTCAAAGCTAGTCGAGCCCGAATAGTTTGACTATTTTATATGTAAACGAAGCGAGTTGTTTTAGACTTATTTTTTTAAATGAGTTTAAAAAATTATTCAAGTTTGGCTCGTTTAAAACATGAGTCGAGCATGAATCGAGTCTTATAAAAATCGAATATGAGCCGAACCTGAGTATCTAATTTTTTTTTTAAGTCAAATTTGATTGTAATGGTCCTATAGGTATCCCATGTGTTCAATACAAAATCTAGAAAGTTGAAAAGATGATAAAAAGAGGGCTGAAAAATAAAATTGACTTCTTAGGTTGCACATTTTTGTTTCTGTGTTTTAAAAATAGAAACATTTTTTTTTTTGGTGGTAATAATTAAAAATAGAAAACATGTTTGATAGTCATTTATCTATACTACTAATAAAAGTGCTTTAGGTAAAAAAAATTTAAATCTCTATTTTTTCCTCATAAAAGATTGTAAAGATCATTCTATCATTTCACAATTAAATATCTAAATTACTATCATATCCTTATATATTTAAATCTCCAAAATAAATATAACATCTATTTTAATTATTTATTCTCTATGTATAAATATTTATATTTGATTAACTATATTACTCTTAAAAAAATATGCATCATTATATTTTCAATAAATTATTCGAAAAAACTTAAAAACTGCATCTTTCTATATTACTCTTAAAAAAAGTTGAACCCTTTCATTTTTAAGATAAAAAATAATCATAAATATAATTTTTTAAAATCAATTTATGTTATATCAATATAATTTTTCAACCACAATAAATTTTAGGATAAATTACAATGACACTCATGTAGATTGGTCTAATTATAGAGACACCCCCTCAATTTTCTAAAAGTACATTAATACCCAATGTCAGGTCTTGTCTCTTAACAAATATAACAAAAAATGCGATTTTTCATAATTGTCATACATCATTTTTTACTTATCAATCTCTCATATATTTAAATACTAATAAATGGATCATTTTCGGGTTCAACCCGTCAAATCTGAAATTGACACTTTCAACTTATTTTGTTTAATCATGTCGAATTTTCTCTATTTTCTTGTTTGTATGTTAATACGAACAACACAGNACCCAATGTCAGGTCTTGTCTCTTAACAAATATAACAAAAAATGCGATTTTTCATAGTTGTCATACATCATTTTTTACTTATCAATCTCTCATATATTTAAATACTAATAAGTGGGTCATTTTCGGGTTCAACCCGTCAAATCTGAAATTGACACTATCAACTTATTTTGTTTAATCATGTCGAATTTTCTCTATTTTCTTGTTTGTATGTTAATACGAACAACACGGAATTACAATGATCCATATGTTTAATTGATATTATAAAAATAAAATATCAATTATTTGTTGTTGTTTATTAAGTACTAACATAATTATTGTATAAAAAATATATTTTTACTCATTATTATTGCTATGTTTATTAAGTTAATTTTTAGTTTATAAAAAAAGTATGAGAAAGAAAAGGAAAAAATGCTGAAAATTCTTTATGCTTTGGTCGTTGATTGCTTCATGTACTCCATGGTATGCACAATGCTAGACTTAGCATATGTAGTTGGTTTGGTTAGCAAATTTCTCTCTAATCAAGGTAAAGAACAATGGACAACTGTTAAATGGATAATGAGGTATCTCCAAGGTTCTTCCAAGGTGTCTTTATTCTTTGGAAATGGCAAGCCTATGCTAGAGGGGGGTTCGCGGTTGTAAATATGGCTATTGATATGATACATGAAACTCTATCTCGGATTACTTAGTCACCTTTGCCGGGCAATTGAAATTTCAAAAATGTGTTGTTTTATCAACCATCAAGGCCGAGTATATAACCATGACAGAGGCTAGCAACGAGATGTTGTGGATCTGAAGATTCTTACATGAATTTGGCTTGAAATAAGAGAGGTGTTATCCATTGTGATAGTCAAAGTATAATTCACTTGAGTAATAATTCTAATTTTCATTCAATATCAAAATATATTGATGTGATACCATTGGATATGTGATTTTTTGGAGTCGAAATTTCTCCATGTCAGAAAATCCATATTGATGATAATGTGTTGGATATAATAACAAACATCTTGCCTAAGGACAAGCATGAAATGTAGAGAATTGATGAGTTCGATCGAGTCCTTCTCTTAAGTCAGAGGGAGGAGATTAGTCTGGAATTCTTCCTTATGTATATTTTTGGGACCCAACCTCATTTCAGGGGTCAAACCCATGCACCTTAAAACTATACTTTGGAGGAGTCTAGAATAAGACAATATTTGAAACCTCTTGGTCTTCCAAGAAAGGTTGACCACCAGAATACTGAGAGAGGGAAAAAAATTGTAGAGACAAGTTCTTGGACGGCTTTCTTGTAAGAGAAAAAGTGGAAGAAAGCAACCCACTTCTTACTCCTATTCAAGGCTCATTTGTACTCTGATCGAGCTGAAATTTTAGGAACATATTCCTCTCACACACAACTGGTTTTCTATTATTTCGGGTTATCAATTGGGCTATTCTACATCTAGTTTTGAATGACATAAGTTCATCCACTTCAATGAGATTTTTCTTGTTGCTTTGTGTTAAAATCCACCTAAGGGTGAAGCTTTTATGTTTGGGAGCCAAAGAAATATTTTCTCTTGATGTTTGACATCTCTAGTTGCAACTAGAAGACTTGTAACCCTCATTTCGTTGATAGTGAAAAAATTGGACCAAGTATAGTCCCATGGCTTTTTCCCTCCACCTTGAAGGGTTTCTACGTTAAAAATTCTTGTGCTCCTTGTTTTTGGTTTGTTTTGATTATGNACCTTGAAGGGTTTCTACGTTAAAAATTCTTGTGCTCCTTGTTTTTGGTTTGTTTTGATTATGGTTTGGTTATTCTCTATTGATTTACACATAGGGATTCAATACATAAAAAAATAAATGTATGTGTTGGAGTTTGATCCAAACTCTGCTAGTATTTTATTCCTTATTTATTTGGTNTGGTTTGGTTATTCTCTATTGATTTACACATAGGGATTCAATACATAAAAAAATAAGTGTATGTGTTGGAGTTTGATCCAAACTCTGCTAGTATTTTATTCCTTATTTATTTGATATTAGTTTTTAATTAGAATTTTAATGGGTTTAAGAGTTTTGACCCATAAAGTATTCTAGTTAGTTTGGTGTAACAATCAATCCGAGTGTACCAAGCTCTAGGGGCTTGTTTAAGCCCATACAAAGCCTTTTTCAACTAATAGAATTTGTTTTCCTCCCCTTTATTCACATAATCAGCAGGCTGGTCAACATAAACTTCCTCCTCAAGGACACCATTCAAGAAAGTAGATTTCAAGAATCCATTCTGAAACGTTTAAGGATATCCCTAGCATACTTCTGTTGAAAAATAAAAATCCCACTGTCTATCTCATTAAACTCAATCCCAAGAAAATAAGAAGTCAAACTCATATCAATCATCTCAAATTGAGAAATCATTGCCTCCCTGAATTTCTCAATTATCTTTAGATTATTTCATGTGAAAATAAGATCATCCACATACAAACACACAATAATAATATCTCCATGGGAATTAGTCAAAGTGTGTTCATAGGGACATCTCTGAAAACCATTCTTAACAAAATAAGAATCAATTTATTTATTCCTGAGCTTCGAAAAAACTACAAGTTGTTGCACTTTTTACCACTAAAGCAGAGTATAATGCAGCCACTAGTTGTGCTACCCAAACAATGTGTTTGCGTTGTATGCTTGGATTTTTGCAGCATGTACAAAAAATTCCTTCAAAGATTTTCAATGACAATAAGTCAGCTATTGTTTTACCAAAAAATTCAATTTTTCATGGGAGGACCAAGCATATTCATGTGAAGTACCATTATATTCGTGACTTGGTTATTGATGGCAAGATTGAAATTTTGTATTGTCAATTCGATGATCAGATTGCAGATATTTTTACCAAGTCACTTAAATCAGATGCATTTATGAAATTGAAATGGATGATGGAAATGGTCAAGATTGAAGAGTTTGGTTCAAGGGAGGTTGTTGGACTTTAACTCAAACTCTCTTAGTATTTTATTCCTTATTTATTTGGTATTAGTTTTTAATCAAGTGCCACAATTGTGAAAAATTAGGGCACTATAAAAGGGAGTGTTTCAGATTAAGGAGACCCATCAACAAAAATTATTATGCTAAAATTGCAAAGGGCAATGATATGATAATTCAGAGATTTTGTTTTTGACTGATAGTACAGTAGATGATGTTCGAAAGAACAAGTGGTATTTGGATTTAGGTTGTAGTAATCACGTGTGGTTACAAGAAGTGTGGTTACAGGAAGATGTTCACTATTTTGGACGAGTCTGTTTGGTCAAACATTAAATTTGGAATGCTTCAACCATCTCCATAAAGGGAAAAAGATAAAAGATGGATCTTTGAATGCTATTTCATATGTTTATTATGTTCTTGGCCTTAGCCACAATTTATTGAGTATATGACATTTGTCAGAAAAGGGGTATGATATAAATTCTTTGAGTTTGATGTTGGTTTTAATGTCTTCATCAATTTTATTTTGTTCGTTATTTTGCCACCAGCTTCATCTTCTTTAATTTTTCCTTGTAGTAAATAATTGTGTGTATGAGATATTTGAGTGTTTAATATTATTTTGAGATCCTACAATATGAAACAAGAAAAAAAATGGTTAGAGTGAAAGTATGTGTTCAAGTAGATGGTTGAGAATTGTCGCGGACTTTCCTTTACCTAAAATTTTACCTCTATTTATAGGAGAAATCTGTTATATTTGATATTAAAGCTTCACTTACATTGTTACACCTTTAATGGAAGAAAAAATTTTTAACGTGATTTGCTACTGAAACAAAGATGATACCATAACAACCTATAATGAAACCATATGCACTTTGCACCCCAAAAGATTTAAGATTTCTCATTTGCATACTTAAAGATTAAATATTTTTATATTATACCATCAATGTATTAAAAGCATTGTAATGTGGCTCTTCTATTACCTTTCATTGTTTATTCCGTCAAAAATCGCTATATTAACATTGACAGAATGAATAATTGAAATTAACGGAAATATCATATTGCAATACTTTTAATATATTGAGAGTATATTGTAAAAAATTTAATCTCTATGGGTGAAAAATAAATTTTTTTAAATCATTCAGGATACAAAATATAATTCACCCGCTGTCTAAATCTCGATTTGTTCGCGGGTTTCATGAAGAAAAAGTAAAGTGAAAAGTTGAAAGAAAGATTGATTCTTACATTTCCTCTTTTGGTTAAATAATGTGGAACATAAAAAAAAATTAGATTTGAATGGCAAATCAAGAAAGAAAAGAAAGAAAATGCAAATTACAGAACATAAAAGTATTTTGTACTTCCCTCGTATCATGTTTTTCCTTCTTATTTCCTATGGAAACTGTGCGCGGTGATTTTCGCACAATAAATAAAAAGAACATATCTCTCATTTGATGAACACGGGATTTACATGAAAGTCGAGGATCCCGAAGCAAAAAGGAGTGAAAAAGGTCCTAAGGAGTGGTGATGAATGGTTTTTCCGGTTGTCCACGTGATTCCGATGAGTCTTGAAGGAAGCTGTCACTCAAAACAAAGAGTTAGAAGAGCGCTGGAGTGTTTTTTGTCGTAACCCCTCCAACGATCAAGTCAGTATATGTGAGGGGCGAAAATATTATTGTATTGCTTAATCAGTCTTGCATACCTTTGCTCTCTGTTTGTGAGGGCTATTTATAGCTTTATGGAGGTAATCATTGTGAACAGGTGAGCCACCTCAAGGGGGAAAGTCCCCCATTGACCCATTTAGCAGGCAGCAGTCAGGGGTGCTTAGTCTTCGAGCAGAGTGCATTCTACTTTGCGTGAGGGGACTATGAGCATTAACTGCTCGGGCTCCCAAGCACTTAATGCTCTTCCCTTGGGAATCTTCAAGTCATGAACACGTCTCATCCCTCTGAGGGATCATTAAATGCCTTCATGTGATGGCTGCGCACGAGCAAGGGCATTTTTTACTTTTGACCCCTGACTCTGTGCTTATTGCCACGTTTAACTTCCTCATTGGGTAGGGGCCTATCCTCTCTGCCAATTCTGATTACTTTGAGAGGAGAAGTCAATGATTATGGACCAAATCTAACTCCAAATAACGATAATCGTCATTCTAACACCCCTACTTCAGGGGTTCTGGTGCCAAGGTAATGTATCTAGAAATAGACCGCGAGGGATTCAACCACGTCGAGGACACGTCTCAATCGCACATGGTTCTGAGAAGAGTTGGGCCGAGGACACATGCACATTTTGAGTACTCCGATGGACTATAGTGTCGAGGAAACGTGTCATTAGCCCAGCACTCTGAGGAACCTAGTGCCGAGGAGATGTGTCGCTTCCTACTGATGTCTTAGAAATTTCCCATCAACTGCCCCCTAACCCTTGATTTTCGTACGATGTAGGCGATGTGGCGTGAAAAGATGAAAGGGCTTTGCCCCTTTCTTTACTATGCAGACATTATTCTTTCCTTGGAGATCATGCGCATTGAATGCACCTTCCTTCGTGTCTCATGTGAAATGATGGAGCTGGCTAGCTTCTCTTATTTAAACAAAGACCCTGTCTCTTCTACCTATTTTTGCAACCTTCATGAGTCCAATCTTCCATTAGAACCTTTGCTGGAGAATCCCCTATTTTCGTCTGAGAAAGCTTCCAACTCTTTAGGATTCATCGGAGAAAGAAGCCATTAGGTTCTCCATTGTAGCAGAACCTTCGCCATTTGGTGAGTAATAGTTCTTCTTTCCCTTTTTCTTCTTTGTGGCTGCAGTATTTCATTACCATAACTTATTTCTTTGGATCAATAGGCTGCCCAACAGATTTCAATCATTGTCATGCTCTTCCATGCCCATCGGGAGAGGATCCAGCAGGGTGAGAGACTCCAGGTCAAGCTGGAGATAGCCCGAGTAGCTCTAGCCTCGGCAAAGGAGGAGGTGGCAAGACTTTGTCCTCCCAGGTAGCCCAAATTATTGAGCTCCTCAAGGAAAGCGAGGTTGCAAAGGGGGATGCTGAAAAAGTTAAGGCTTCCCTAGCTGATGTCGAGAAGAGGATAATTGAGGTGACCAAGTAGCTATCGTCGCCGGAGGCGAAGGCAGCCGAGTCGAAGCAGACTTGTGCTACTCTGACTCAAGAGTTAGACAAGTTGAGAGTTGAGCTCGAAGCCAACAGGAAGACGAAGCAAGAGATCGTCAACCGTTGTGCTGACAACATTCTAGTGGATCTTAAGGAAAACAAGAGAGAATACTTCAAGCTTGGTTGGGATGAGGCTCTTCGAGCTACAGGGGTCCTTGCCGACGCTGATCTCTTCAAGATGCACGAGTATGTTCCTTCTAAGGAAATGTTGTGAGCATCTACTAAAGCTAAAGTTGGAGATGCTAGAAATCCCCAAGTGTCGAGCGTAGCTACAGTTGTAGAGACGTCGGTCCTAGCTCCTATCGAAGTCATTCCTATGCAGACTCTTCCTCCTGCTCTTGGCCCTACTTCAAATTATATGCCTGCACCTCAAGCCTACATTACTGTTGCTCCTGATGCAACGCCTGCCTCTCATAGCGCCGACTCATTCTCTGTCAGCAATGACAAACTCTTCAAAGACATTGGAAGAGGTATCGGTGGCGAGGTTATTGGGCCTCTTGGCGCTTAGACCTTTGTTTTAATTTTATTTCTGTTTCCATTTTTGTAGCTTAAGGGACACAAAGCCCACATTTCTTTTAATGAAAAAATTCATTTTGTTTCCCAAATGCTTGTTGCTTGTTCTTTTTCATTTGCTTTTAATTTTTTTCTAAGTGTTTGTTTCTCGGGACCAATGTTGTAATACTGTAGTTGGGACATTCCTACCCTTTAGCGGAGGTGTCCCCTCCTTGGCTTTATCTTCTTTCGTGGGAAAAAATATCCTAAGTGTTCCCCCTCTAGGCCGAGATGATGTGTCTAGAAACAGTCTCGTAAGGCAGTATTGACGCTGAGGTCAGGTGTTTTCCCTCGGGATATACTTAGAGGCTCCATCTGTTGGGTCTTTTTTGGGGCAAGTTTACCCCCTAGGCCACAGCCCATCCAGGAGGCCATGCTCCTTTTATATCTTTTGGAGGTAGGAGTCTCAAGTACTCTACCACTAGTGCCATGCTCCTTCTAGGAGACGTGCTCCTGTTTTTCTTTGAAGGCAAGAGTCTTTAGACTACGCCTCTAGGGCCATATTCTTGTACTTCTTTGGGGGCTAGAGTCCTAAGACCTTGCCTCCAGGGCCATGCCCCTTCTGATATAACACATTTTAGCACAAAAACGAGCCTCTATTTCTTCAATAATAATATTTCTTCAAATTCATTACATTTCATGGTCAAATTACATCGTTTCCTTTCATATCCTCCAACTTGTATGATCCTGAGCCTCCTACTGATGTGATTTTGTACTGTCCTTCCCAATTAGGTCTCATCTTTCCATCAGCTAGGTCTCTAGTATTTCTGACTACTTTTCTAAGTACCAGGTCGCCCACTTCAAATCCTTGAGGCTTGAATTTTTTGTTGTAGAGCCTAGATACCCCTTCTTAATACTTTGCAAGTCTCAGGGCTTCCATCTCCTTTCTCTCCTTCACGAGGTCCATGTCCAGGCTGAGTTGATGATCGTTGTCTCTAGTGTCAAAGGCCTATGTCCTCATGGTAGGGAGGCCTATCTCAAGTGAAATTACTGCCTCTACTCCGTACATGAGGGCATAGGGCGTTTCTCTTGTTGAGGTCCTCAGAGTCGTCCTATAGGCCCAAAGGACGTTCAGCAGCTCATCTACCCATTTTTCTTTAGCTTTCTCCAACCTCTTCTTGAGTCCGTTGATGATGGTCTTGTTTGAAGATTTTGCCTGCCCATTGGCCTGAGGATATGAGGGCGTTAAGTAGTAGTTTCGGATTCTAAGATGCTCACAAAGGACTTGAAGGGTTTGCTGTTGAACTGGGTCGCATTGTCCGACACAAGTATGTGTGAGATTCCAAATCTTGTTACTATGTTCCTTTATACGAACTTATTGGTTTCCACGTCCTTGATATGAGTTAATGGCTCCACCTTGATCCACTTCTTGAAATAGTCAGTCCCTACTATCAGGAACTTCTTGTCTCTAATAGCCCTTGGGAGGGGTCCAACCAAGTCAAGTCCCCATTGGGCAAATAACCAAGGGCTGGTTAGTGGGTGCAGGTCTCTTGCTGGCTACCTGATGGTGGGAGCAAACCTTTGACATTGATTGCACTTCCAACCATAAGCTTGTGCATCCTTATGCATCCGTGGCCACAAATATCCTTGCGACATAACGCGGTGGGCCATTGTCCGTCCACCCGAGTACCACCTACATATTCCTTCGTGCATTTCATATAGGAGGGGCTCCATTTTATCCTTGTAGACACAATAAAAAAGATAAGGTCCAGAGAATGATTTTCGATATAACTTTTGATCTGGGGAGGCTCAAAACCTTGGGGCTCGTAATTTTATCTTTTTGGCTTCCCCGGAGGCAAGGAACTTGAGTATGGGATCCATCCAACTAGAAAACTCCTCCCCCTCCTAGATGGCTACTACTCCGGGGACATCGTCTATGCTGGAGTTGGGAAGGAACTCCACAGTTATCCTTTGTGTCATGTTAGAGTCCAACACCGAGGCCAAACATGCCAAGGCGTCGGCATAGGAGTTCTTGTATTGGGGGACTTGCTTGATTTCCACCTTCTTCAACTTGCGAAGCAGGGACATGGCTTTGTGGTGATACATTTTCATCCTTGGATCCCTCACTTCGAATTCTCCATTAATCTGGTTAACAACCAACAAAGAATCGCACTGGGCCGGTAACTCTGCGGCCCCTACTACATTGGCCAGTTTAAGTCCAGAGATAAGGACTTCATACTCTGTTTTATTTTTGGATGCCTTCAAGCCCAGTTGTACAGTTTTCTCTATGACAAGTCTCTCCGGGGAGACTAACAGTACCCCGATTCCGAAACCCTTACTATTGGAGGATCTGTCCACACATAGGCTCTAGGAATGTTTTTTGCTAACCGCAAGCAGCTCCAACTCAGGGGCAGAATGCTTCCCCTTGGTAAACTCTGCTAACACTTGTCCCTTTATTACAGTACGAGGCTTGTAATGAATGTCATGTTCCCCCATCTTTACCTCCCATTTTTCTATCCTCCCATTAAGGTCCGTCTTCCTTAAGATTGCCTTCAAAGGTTGATTGGTTAGGACGGTGATTGGGTGCGCCTGAAAGTAATGTTTGAGCTTCCTCGTGACTATGACTAGGGCCAATGCCAGCTTTGGCAATGGCAAGTACCTTGTTTCTGCATCTAATAGAGCTTTATTGACATAATATACTGGCTTCTGCTCATGTTCGTGCTCATAGACCAATACGTCGCTAATGGCAAATTCTGAAATAGCCAAGTAGAGCAACAACATCTCCCTATTCTCTGGGACAGACAAGGTTAGGAAGACCCTGAGGTACTCCTTGATCCCTTCAAGCGCCACCTCGCATTGTTCACCCTATGTGTCTTTTTCAGACCCTCTTGATTGCTCCGAAGAAAGGCTTGCAGTTGTTTGATGATCGAGAGATAAAATGATTTAGGGCGGCTAACATTCCTATGAGTCTCTGGATGGTCCGAGGATCCAGGGACTGCGTATATCCATGATAGCATGTATCTATTTCGGGTTGGCTTCAATTCCACAGTAACTCACTAAGTACCCCAAGAATTTTCCAGAGTCAACTCCGAAGGTGCACTTGGCTACGTTCAATTTCAATCCATACTCTTGGAGGGTGGAGAAGGCATCTTCCAAGTCCGTGACGTTGTCATTCCGCCTACTACTTTTGACCATCATAGCGTCAATGTACACCTCCATGGTATTCCCTAGTTGTCGCTTGAACATCCGGTTCATGAGTCTTTGATAAGTAGCACCTGCATTTAAATGGCATGACTATATAACAATAAATACCCTCGGAGTGATGAAAGCATTCTTTTCCTAGTTTGGTGGATGGAGGGGGGGTCTGGTGGTAACCTGCCCAAACATCCATGAAGCTCATACGCTCGTGCCCTACTGTAGCAATGACCAATTTATCAACCTTTAGGAGGGAAAAATCATCTTTGGGATCAGCTTTGTTCAAGTTTGTGAAGTCTATACATACACGTCATTTTCCATTTTTCTTCTTGGTGTAGACAATGTTTGATAACCATTCTGGAAACTGTGCCTCCCAGATGGCATCGACTTCTAGGAGCCTTTATACTTATTCGTTTACCACCTGAGCGTGATACAGTGCCATACACCTTGGTTTTTGCTTCACGGGCTTATGAGTGGGATCAACATGAAGCCTATGAGTTATAACATCAGGACTTATGCCTTTCATCTCCACGGCATTCCATGCAAACACATCCACATTCTTCCTAAAAAAATTAGTCATCTCTTCATGCTCGGCTAGGGACATGGCAAANGGGATCAACATGAAGCCTATGAGTTATAACATCAGGACTTATGCCTTTCATCTCCATGGCATTCCATGCAAACACATCCACATTCTTCCTAAAAAAATTAGTCATCTCTTCATGCTCGGCTAGGGACATGGCAAATCCGATCAGGAAGTATCTCTCCTCGTCTCCTTCTGCCAAGAGTACCTTTCAGAGGTCTTCCACTGATGGATCAGCTAGGTCAATCCGCAGCTCATCGATCCCCAACTATCCAGACTGTAGTTGCTATTTGTTCAAAACTTCCTTCGAGGCACGCTCCTTCTCCTTGGAGACGACCCCGACTTTTATAGCGGTGTAGAAACAACTTTTAGCCGATGCTTTGGTCTCCATAAATCTCCATTATCCCCTTTGAAGTAAGGAATTTAAGCTTCTAGTGGTAGGTGGAGTGCACTGCCCCANTGCCAAGAGTACCTTTCAGAGGTCTTCCACTGATGGATCAGCTAGGTCAATCCGCAATTCATCGATCCCCAACTATCCAGACTGTAGTTGCTATTTGTTCAAAACTTCCTTTGAGGCATGCTCCTTCTCCTTGGAGACGACCTCGACTTTTATAGCGGTGTAGAAACAAATTTTAGCCGATGCTTTGGTCTCCATAAATCTCCATTATCCCCTCTGAAGTAAGGAATTTAAGCTTCTAGTGGTAGGTGGAGTGCACTGCCCCAAGCAAATGCAACGAAGTCTGCCCCATGATAATATTGTATGGTGAGTCAGATTCGATCATCATGAACTCCGTGTCGATGGTGACAGGTCCTGTGATGACCGGGAGAGTAATCTTGCCTAGAGGCAGGGCAAATGTTCCATTGAATCTGATAAAGGGGGTCCTAAACATGGTCAGATCCTTGGACCCAAAGCCCATTCGTTTCAATATGTCAAAGTACATGACCTCCGACGAGCTTCCTGAGTCCACCAGAGCGCTCTTGATGTCAAATTCGCCGATTCCTAAAGTTATAATTAACGCATCCTCGTGGGGGAGGAACACGTCTACCAGGTCGGCTTTAGAGAAGGTGATATTCTGATGATCCGTCTAGGGCCTCTTGCTTGCCTGGCCCCATCCTTGTCTTCCACCTTTCGGGTGAAGGCCATTCTCTTAAGGTNGAATTTCTCAATTATCTTTAGATTATTTCATGTGAAAATAAGATCATCCACATACGAACACACAATAATAATATCTCCATGGGAATTAGTCAAAGTGTTTTCATAGGGACATCTCTGAAAACCATTCTTAACAAAATAAGAATCAATTTATTTATTCCTGAGCTTCGAAAAAATTACAAGTTGTTGCACTTTTTACCACTAAAGCAGAGTATAATGCAGCCACCAGTTGTGCTACCCAAACAATGTATTTGCGTTGTATGCTTGGATTTTTGCAGCATGTACAAAAATTCCTTCAAAGATTTTCAATGATAATAAGTCAGCTATTGTTTTACTAAAAAATTCAATTTTTCATGGGAGGACCAAGCATATTCATGTGAAGTACCATTATATTCGTGACTTGGTTATTGATGGCAAGATTGAAATTTTGTATTGTCAATTCGATGATCAGATTGCAGATATTTTTACCAAGTCACTTAAATCAGATGCATTTATGAAATTGAAATGGATGATGGAAATGGTCAAGATTGAAGAGTTTGGTTTAAGGGAGGTTGTTGGACTTTAATTCAAACTCTCTTAGTATTTTATTCCTTATTTATTTGGTATTAGTTTTTAATCAAGTGCCACAATTGTGAAAAATTAGGGCACTATAAAAGGGAGTGTTTCAGATTAAGGAGACCCATCAACAAAAATTATTATGCTAAAATTGCAAAGGGCAATGATATGATAATTCAGAGATTTTGTTTTTGACTGATAGTACAGTAGATGATGTTCGAAAGAACAAGTGGTATTTGGATTTAGGTTGTAGTAATCACGTGTGGTTACAAGAAGTGTGGTTACAGGAAGATGTTCACTATTTTGGACGAGTCTGTTTGGTCAAACATTAAATTTGGAATGCTTCAACCATCCCCATAAAGGGAAAAAGATAAAAGATGGATCTTTGAATGCTATTTCATATGTTTATTATGTTCTTGGCCTTAGCCACAATTTATTGAGTATATGACATTTGTCAGAAAAGGGGTATGATATAAATTCTTTGAGTTTGATGTTGGTTTTAATGTCTTCATCAATTTTATTTTGTTCGTTATTTTGCCACCAGCTTCATCTTCTTTAATTTTTCCTTGTATTAAATAATTGTGTGTATGAGATATTTGAGTGTTTAATATTATTTTGAGATCCTACAATATGAAACAAGAAAAAAAATGGTTAGAGTGAAAGTATGTGTTCAAGTAGATGGTTGAGAATTGTCGCGGACTTTCCTTTACCTAAAATTTTACCTCTATTTATAGGAGAAATCTGTTATATTTGATATTAAAGCTTCACTTACATTGTTACACCTTTAATGGAAGAAAAAATTTTTAAAAGTGATTTGCTACTGAAACAAAGATGATACTATAACAACCTATAATGAAACCATATGCACTTTGTACCCCAAAAGATTTAAGATTTCTCATTTGCATACTTAAAGATTAAATTTTTTTATATTATACCATCAATGTATTAAAAGCATTGTAATGTGGCTCTTCTATTACCTTTCATTGCTTATTCCGTCAAAAATCGCTATATTAACATTGACAGAATGAATAATTGAAATTAACGGAAATATCATATTGCAATACTTTTAATATATTGAGAGTATATTGTAAAAAATTTAATCTCTATGGGTGAAAAATAAATTTTTTTAAATCATTCAGGATACAAAATATAATTCACCCGCTGTCTAAATCTCGATTTGTTCGCGGGTTTCATGAAGAAAAAGTAAAGTGAAAAGTTGAAAGAAAGATTGATTCTTACATTTCCTCTTTTGGTTAAATAATGTGGAACATAAAAAAAAATTAGATTTGAATGGCAAATCNGTAAAAAATTTAATCTCTATGGGTGAAAAATAAATTTTTTTAAATCATTCAGGATACAAAATATAATTCACCCGCTGTCTAAATCTCGATTTGTTCGCGGGTTTCATGAAGAAAAAGTAAAGTGAAAAGTTGAAAGAAAGATTGATTCTTACATTTCCTCTTTTGGTTAAATAATGTGGAACATAAAAAAAAATTAGATTTGAATGGCAAATCAAGAAAAAAAAAGAAAGAAAATGCAAATTACAGAACATAAAAGAATTTTGTACTTCCCTCGTATCATGTTTTTCCTTCTTATTTCCTATGGAAACTGTGCGCGGTGATTTTCGCACAATAAATAAAAAGAACATATCTCTCATTTGATGAACACGGGATTTACATGAAAGTCGAGGATCCCGAAGCAAAAAGGAGTGAAAAAGGTCCTAAGGAGTGGTGATGAATGGTTTTTCCGGTTGTCCACGTGATTCTGATGAGTCTTGAAGGAAGCTGCCACTCAAAACAAAGAGTTAGAAGAGCGCTGGAGTGTTTTCTGTCGTAACCCCTCCAACGATCAAGTCAGTATATGTTGCTTAATCAGTCTTGCATACCTTTGCTCTCTGTTTGTGAGGGCTATTTATAGCTTTATGGAGGTAATCATTGTGAACAGGTGAGCCACCTCAAGGGGGAAAGTCCCCCATTGACCCATTTAGCAGGCAGCAGTCAGGGGTGCTTAGTCTTCGAGCAGAGTGCATTCTACTTTGCGTGAGGGGACTATGAGCATTAACTGCTCGGGCTCCCAAGCACTTAATGCTCTTCCCTTGGGAATCTTCAAGTCATGAACACGTCTCATCCCTCTGAGGGATCATTAAATGCCTTCATGTGATGGCTGCGCACGAGCAAGGGCATTTTTTACTTTTGACCCCTGACTCTGTGCTTATTGCCACGTTTAACTTCCTCATTGGGTAGGGGCCTATCCTCTCTGCCAATTCTGATTACTTTGAGAGGAGAAGTCAATGATTATGGACCAAATCTAACTCCAAATAACGATAATCGTCATTCTAACACCCCTACTTCAGGGGTTCTGGTGCCAAGGTAATGTATCTAGAAATAGACCGCGAGGGATTCAACCACGTCGAGGACACGTCTCAATCGCACATGGTTCTGAGAAGAGTTGGGCCGAGGACACATGCACATTTTGAGTACTCCGATGGACTATAGTGTCGAGGAAACGTGTCATTAGCCCAGCACTCTGAGGAACCTAGTGCCGAGGAGATGTGTCGCTTCCTACTGATGTCTTAGAAATTTCCCATCAACTGCCCCCTAACCCTTGATTTTCGTACGATGTAGGCGATGTGGCGTGAAAAGATGAAAGGGCTTTGCCCCTTTCTTTACTATGCAGACATTATTCTTTCCTTGGAGATCATGCGCATTGAATGCACCTTCCTTCGTGTCTCATGTGAAATGATGGAGCTGGCTAGCTTCTCTTATTTAAACAAAGACCCTGTCTCTTCTACCTATTTTTGCAACCTTCATGAGTCCAATCTTCCATTAGAACCTTTGCTGGAGAATCCCCTATTTTCGTCTGAGAAAGCTTCCAACTCTTTAGGATTCATCGGAGAAAGAAGCCATTAGGTTCTCCATTGTAGCAGAACCTTCGCCATTTGGTGAGTAATAGTTCTTCTTTCCCTTTTTCTTCTTTGTGGCTGCAGTATTTCATTACCATAACTTATTTCTTTGGATCAATAGGCTGCCCAACAGATTTCAATCATTGTCATGCTCTTCCATGCCCATCGGGAGAGGATCCAGCAGGGTGAGAGACTCCAGGTCAAGCTGGAGATAGCCCGAGTAGCTCTAGCCTCGGCAAAGGAGGAGGTGGCAAGACTTTGTCCTCCCAGGTAGCCCAAATTATTGAGCTCCTCAAGGAAAGCGAGGTTGCAAAGGGGGATGCTGAAAAAGTTAAGGCTTCCCTAGCTGATGTCGAGAAGAGGATAATTGAGGTGACCAAGTAGCTATCGTCGCCGGAGGCGAAGGCAGCCGAGTCGAAGCAGACTTGTGCTACTCTGACTCAAGAGTTAGACAAGTTGAGAGTTGAGCTCGAAGCCAACAGGAAGACGAAGCAAGAGATCGTCAACCGTTGTGCTGACAACATCCTAGTGGATCTTAAGGAAAACAAGAGAGAATACTTCAAGCTTGGTTGGGATGAGGCTCTTCGAGCTACAGGGGTCCTTGCCGACGCTGATCTCTTCAAGATGCACGAGTATGTTCCTTCTGAGGAAATGTTGTGAGCATCTACTAAAGCTAAAGTTGGAGATGCTAGAAATCCCCAAGTGTCGAGCGTGGCTACAGTTGTAGAGACGTCGATCCTGGCTCCTATCGAAGTCATTCCTATCCAGACTCTTCCTCCTGCTCTTGGCCCCACTTTAGATTATATGCCTGCACCTCAAGCCTACATTCCTGTTGCTCCTGATGCAACGCCTGCCTCTCATAGCGCCGACTCATTCTCTGTCAGCAATGACGAACTCTTCAAAGACTTTGGAAGAGGTATCGGTGGCGAGGTTATTGGGCCTCCTGGAGCTTAGAACTTTGTTTTAATTTTATTTCTGTTTCCATTTTTGTAGCTTAAGGGAAGCAAAGCCCTCATTTCTTTTAATGAAAAAATTCATTTTGTTTCCCAAATGCTTGTTGCTTGTTCTTTTTCATTTGCTTTTAATTTTTTTCTAAGTGTTTGTTTCTCGGGACCAATGTTGTAATACTGTAGTTGGGACATTCCTACCCTTTAGCGGAGGTGTCCCCTCCTTGGCTTTATCTTCTTTCGTGGGAAAAAATATCCTAAGTGTTCCCCCTCTAGGCCGAGATGATGTGTCTAGAAACAGTCTCGTAAGGCAGTATTGACGCTGAGGTCAGGTGTTTTCCCTCAGGATATACTTAGAGGCTCCATCTGTTGGGTCTTTTTTGGGGCAAGTTTACCCCCTAGGCCACAGCCCATCCAGGAGGCCATGCTCCTTTTATATCTTTTGGAGGTAGGAGTCTCAAGTACTCTACCACTAGTGCCATGCTCCTTCTAGGAGACGTGCTCCTGTTTTTCTTTGAAGGCAAGAGTCTTTAGACTACGCCTCTAGGGCCATATTCTTGTACTTCTTTGGGGGCTAGAGTCCTAAGACCTTGCCTCCAGGGCCATGCCCCTTCTGATATAACACATTTTAGCACAAAAACGAGCCTCTATTTCTTCAATAATAATATTTCTTCAAATTCATTACATTTCATGGTCAAATTACATCGTTTCCTTTCATATCCTCCAACTTGTATGATCCTGAGCCTCCTACTGATGTGATTTTGTACTGTCCTTCCCAATTAGGTCTCATCTTTCCATCAGCTAGGTCTCTAGTATTTCTGACTACTTTTCTAAGTACCAGGTCGCCCACTTCAAATCCTTGAGGCTTGAATTTTTTGTTGTAGAGCCTAGATACCCCTNATTTCCTTTCATATCCTCCAACTTGTATGATCCTGAGCCTCCTACTGATGTGATTTTGTACTGTCCTTCTCAATTAGGTCCCATCTTTCCATCAGCTAGGTCTCTAGTATTTCTGACTACTTTTCTAAGTACCAGGTCGCCCACTTCAAATCCTTGAGGCTTGAATTTTTTGTTGTAGAGCCTGGATACCCCTTCTTAATACTTTGCAAGTCTCAGGGCTTCCATCTCCTTTCTCTCCTTCACGAGGTCCATGTCCAGGCTGAGTTGATGATCGTTGTCTCTAGTGTCAAAGGCCTATGTCCTCATGGTAGGGAGGCCTATCTCAAGTGAAATTACTGCCTCTACTCCGTACATGAGGGCATAGGGCGTTTCTCTTGTTGAGGTCCTCAGAGTCGTCCTATAGGCCCAAAGGACGTTCAGCAGCTCATCTACCCATTTTTCTTTAGCTTTCTCCAACCTCTTCTTGAGTCCGTTGATGATGGTCTTGTTTGAAGATTTTGCCTGCCCATTGGCCTGAGGATATGAGGGCGTTAAGTAGTAGTTTCGGATTCTAAGATGCTCACAAAGGACTTGAAGGGTTTGCTGTTGAACTGGGTCGCATTGTCCGACACAAGTATGTGTGAGATTCCAAATCTTGTTACTATGTTCCTTTATACGAACTTATTGGTTTCCACGTCCTTGATATGAGTTAATGGCTCCACCTTGATCCACTTCTTGAAATAGTCAGTCCCTACTATAAGGTACTTCTTGTCTCTAATAGCCCTTGGGAGGGGTCCAACCAAGTCAAGTCCCCATTGGGAAAATAACCAAGGGCTGGTTAGTGGGTGCAGGTCTCTTGCTGGCTACCTGATGGTGGGAGCAAACCTTTGACATTGATTGCACTTCCAACCATAAGCTTGTGCATCCTTATGCATCCGTGGCCACAAATATCCTTGCGACATAACGCGGTGGGCCATTGTCCGTCCACCCGAGTACCACCTACATATTCCTTCGTGCATTTCATATAGGAGGGGCTCCATTTTATCCTCGTAGACACAATAAAAAAGATAAGGTCCAGAGAATGATTTTCGATATAACTTTTGATCTGGGGAGGCTCAAAACCTTGGGGCTCGTAATTTTATCTTTTTGGCTTCCCCGGAGGCAAGGAACTTGAGTATGGGATCCATCCAACTAGAAAACTCCTCCCCCTCCTAGATGGCTACTACTCCGGGGACATCGTCTATGCTGGAGTTGGGAAGGAACTCCACAGTTATCCTTTGTGTCATGTTAGAGTCCAACACCGAGGCCAAACATGCCAAGGCGTCGGCATAGGAGTTCTTGTATTGGGGGACTTGCTTGATTTCCACCTTCTTCAACTTGCGAAGCAGGGACATGGCTTTGTGGTGATACATTTTCATCCTTGGATCCCTCACTTCGAATTCTCCATTAATCTGGTTAACAACCAACAAAGAATCGCACTGGACCGGTAACTCTGCGGCCCCTACTACATTGGCCAGTTTAAGTCCAGAGATAAGGACTTTATACTCTGCTTTATTGTTGGATGCCTTTAAGCCCAGTTGTACAGTTTTCTCTGTGACAAGTCTCTCCGGGGAGACTAACAGTACCCCGATTCCGAAACCCTTACTATTGGAGGATCTGTCCACACATAGGCTCTAGGAATGTTTTTTGCTAACCGCAAGCAGCTCCAACTCAGGGGCAGAATGCTTCCCCTTGGTAAACTCTGCTAACACTTGTCCCTTTATTACAGTACGAGGCTTGTAATGAATGTCATGTTCCCCCATCTTTACCTCCCATTTTTCTATCCTCCCATTAAGGTCCGTCTTCCTTAAGATTGCCTTCAAAGGTTGATTGGTTAGGACGGTGATTGGGTGCACCTGAAAGTAATGTTTGAGCTTCCTCGTGACTATGACTAGGGCCAATGCCAGCTTTGGCAATGGCAAGTACCTTGTTTCTGCATCTAATAGAGCTTTATTGACATAATATGCTGGCTTCTGCTCATGTTCGTGCTCATAGACCAATACGTCGCTAATGGCAAATTCTGAAATAGCCAAGTAGAGCAACAACATCTCCCTATTCTCTGGGACAGACAAGGTTAGGAAGACCCTGAGGTACTCCTTGATCCCTTCAAGCGCCACCTCGCATTGTTCACCCTATGTGTCTTTTTCAGACCCTCTTGATTGCTCCGAAGAAAGGCTTGCAGTTGTTTGATGATCGAGAGATAAAATGATTTAGGGCGGCTAACATTCCTATGAGTCTCTGGATGGTCCGAGGATCCAGGGACTGCGTATATCCATGATAGCATGTATCTATTTCGGGTTGGCTTCAATTCCACAGTAACTCACTAAGTACCCCAAGAATTTTCCAGAGTCAACTCCGAAGGTGCACTTGGCTACGTTCAATTTCAATCCATACTCTTGGAGGGTGGAGAAGGCATCTTCCAAGTCCGTGACGTTGTCATTCCGCCTACTACTTTTGACCATCATAGCGTCAATGTACACCTCCATGGTATTCCCCAGTTGTCGCTTGAACATCCGGTTCATGAGTCTTTGATAAGTAGCACCTGCATTTAAATGGCATGACTATATAACAATAAATACCCTCGGAGTGATGAAAGCATTCTTTTCCTAGTTTGGTGGATGGAGGGGGGGTCTGGTGGTAACCTGCCCAAACATCCATGAAGCTCATACGCTCGTGCCCTACTGTAGCAATGACCAATTTATCAACCTTTAGGAGGGAAAAATCATCTTTGGGATCAGCTTTGTTCAAGTTTGTGAAGTCTATACATACACGTCATTTTCCATTTTTCTTCTTGGTGTAGACAATGTTTGATAACCATTCTGGAAACTGTGCCTCCCAGATGGCATCGACTTCTAGGAGCCTTTATACTTATTCGTTTACCACCTGAGCGTGATACAGTGCCATACACCTTGGTTTTTGCTTCACGGGCTTATGAGTGGGATCAACATGAAGCCTATGAGTTATAACATCAGGACTTATGCCTTTCATCTCCACGGCATTCCATGCAAACACATCCACATTCTTCCTAAAAAAATTAGTCATCTCTTCATGCTCGGCTAGGGACATGGCAAATCCGATCAGGAAGTATCTCTCCTCGTCTCCTTCTGCCAAGAGTACCTTTCAGAGGTCTTCCACTGATGGATCAGCTAGGTCAATCCGCAGCTCATCGATCCCCAACTATCCAGACTGTAGTTGCTATTTGTTCAAAACTTCCTTCGAGGCACGCTCCTTCTCCTTGGAGACGACCCCGACTTTTATAGCGGTGTAGAAACAACTTTTAGCCGATGCTTTGGTCTCCATAAATCTCCATTATCCCCTTTGAAGTAAGGAATTTAAGCTTCTAGTGGTAGGTGGAGTGCACTGCCCCAAGCAAATGCAACGAAGTCTGCCCCATGATAATATTGTATGGTGAGTCAGATTCGATCATCATGAACTCCGTGTCGATGGTGACAGGTCCTGTGATGACCGGGAGAGTAATCTTGCCTAGAGGCAGGGCAAATGTTCCATTGAATCTGATAAAGGGGGTCCTAAACATGGTCAGATCCTTGGACCCAAAGCCCATTCGTTTCAATATGTCAAAGTACATGACCTCCGACGAGCTTCCTGAGTCCACCAGAGCGCTCTTGATGTCAAATTCGCCGATTCCTAAAGTTATAATTAACGCATCCTCGTGGGGGAGGAACACACCTACCAGGTCGGCTTTAGAGAAGGTGATATTCTCATGATCCGTCTAGGGCCTCTTGTTTGCCTGGCCCCATCCTTGTCTTCCACCTTTCGGGTGAAGGCCATTCTCTTAAGGTCAGACCTAAGAGTGTTAGTTGTCAGCCACTCTAAAAGGCAAACATAGATGAGGTCAACAATGTTGCCACGGACGACAGTCTGGTCCTCGGTAGTATGTGTCTCCCTTGGTGGATCTTCCTCGAAAAACTCCTTGAGATGTCCCTTGTGTACCAAATTTTTCAGGAAGAATTTGTAGACTTTGCAATCTTCAATGAGATTTTCCATGTCCTTGTGGTACGAACACCTCGCATTTTGGTTTCTGGTGGACGAATCACCCTGTATCTTGGGAGGCCACTTAAAGAAGGTCTC